CACCGCGCCCGGCCTGAATGATGCATTTTTGACCTTGAGCATTTTCATTTTGTTCTAAAGTGCTTTTATGGGCCTCTTCATCAGAGTAAACATTGCTCACTCCTACTTTAAACTGATTTTGTTGTCCAAACATAATATCTGTTTGTCTGAATAAATATTTATATCAGACTATTTTTAGAGCTCTATTTTATGTTTTCAATTCATTATGTTTCCTTCTTTGGCACAAGGTATACAGAACCATTTATAATTTATGGAGGATTTGATGAGACGCGTTCACCTGCTGTGGCTGTGTCTCTGCAATGCGGCGATAGCTTTGACTGCAGCCTCCTTGGAGGGAGGGAGCCGTCCTTTCGTGTTGTTGAGTGAAGGTTGTGGCAGCGACTGGCTGCAGCGGAGGAATCCTTCTCAGATTAAGGATATTTCAAGCAGCCTCAGGGCAGGTGGCCCACAGCACACCTTGCAAAGCTACAGGCAGGCGCTTGTGTTGTAGAAGGTCGGACCATGGGCCCCGGCTGCACAGGGTCCTGGGGCTACGCAGCTGATATTCGTTATCTCAGACGGCTCCCAGGAACTAGACAGGCCTAGCCAGAGGAAAATATACTAACTGCTTTTCCAGCAATTTCTGCTTACAATCAATAGAAACAGTAAATAAATGTCTTCATATGTTTTGGAAAATTTGAGTCTTTCATGGTGTTTTTATCTTTCAGGGGATTTTTTTTTCCTTATTTAAAAAAAAAACTTCATTGTGTTTGACATTTTGGTACTACCTTTTTGGACTACGTATTAGTCATTATTTAATATTTTAACCTCGATATGGTATTTACTGCAAGCCTAGCCTCGGCGCACATGGAGTGCACTAACGAAACGTTTCACGTGATCACGGAACCTCATCACTGGGGTGTCGCCGTCCCGAGTACGAATGTGGTTGTGCTTTCAGTGGGCTCCTGGCTCCCTGGGAATGAACGAGAACAGTTTCTGTGGGGAACTTTGTGGATGGCAGATTATTTATTTTATAAACTTGTTTTCAGGGTAGCCCTGTGATGCCACTGAGTATACTGAAATTCTGTAAGAGATATACAAAAAGAAATTTGCCTAGAAAGGAAGAGTCTTTTGTGAAATATGAATATACACTCTTGTCTGGCACCAAAAACTCAAGGGTTTATTTGAGATGTCCACGTCCTTTAAGAAAAATAAAGAATGCTCTTCTATCTCTTTTCCTTTCAGTGTGTGGAGAAACCCTGCAAGACTCCAGTGGCAACCTCTCCTCTCCAGGGTTCCCCAACGGCTACCCCTCCTACACACACTGCATCTGGAGGGTCTCCGTGACGCCCGGGGAGAAGGTAGCTCACACCGTCCAGAGTTCTGTCTCCGTCTCACAGAAGCGCAGACGTTCGTTATCTTTCAGCTGTAACTTGCTTTGTCTTTTATTCTTGTGTGATTCTTCAATTCAGAGACTAAAGCGCTCTGAAAATTTATAATGGAAATGGCTCAAACTCCAGGAATTTGTCGAAAAATACAATTTTAAAAATTGTTAAATGCTATGGAAGGGTTGAAATAATACAACTTATATTCTCAGATACAATGAAATTAAGTTAAAGATCAGTATCAGAAAGATAACTAGAAAAATTCCCATACATCTTAAGATTAAAAAATACACAGCTGAAAGTCCAGTTCAAACAAGAAGAAATTATAGGAAAGTGAGAAACTATTTTCAAATATAATGTAAGAAAAATGCTGAATACCAAGCCTGTAAAATGCAACTAATGCAGAAATTCACAGACTTAAGTGCTTACATTGGAAAATAAGAAAAGTCTCAAGCTAATGAGCTAGAGTAGA